TGGGGCAAAACAATCACCGATTCTTTCACACAATTTCACCATCTAATTTCCGTCTATGCATTTTGAAGCAAAATTAATTTCCTTGCCTATCTAATAAATCAGAGCCAAATGATTGCTGCTAGTGTCACTCCAGACTCACACAATGAGATCTTCCAGTGCTGTTCTGATAGACTATAGAGTGTTGTATGTGAAGCCTTCTCATGTCGTACAGAGAGGAGCTTATGGGGCATACTCACATTCACGTCAATAGTATACTTTTGTTTCACCAGCAAACCTCTGACTGTAAAAGTCAGAAAAATTTAATTAAATTTAACCTCAGCCACAATAGAGCTTTCTAATTGGCATCCACTGTTTCTTACCTTTCTTATTAATCTCATTGGTTTGTAAACAGGCTCGCATGCCATTTGGAAGATATTATGCAGCGATATACAGAACGATGTGCTACATTATACATGCAGTATCTTGTAAGATTCAATGCATGTTTTCCGCATGGCTTCCCTCTGAAACAACTGGGGGGTTTTGAAGATCAGCTATATGCTAAAATGCCTCAGGCTATCTTTACAAGGTTACAGAGCATTATGAGCCCAATGTGCATCCGGGGAGCTGAACCCCACATGCACCGCTGCAGTCTAGACCCCAGATCTAGGGGCCGTCCTTGGATATACGTGAGGAGACACTGGGGGGCAGGGTGCAGTGCGTCGACCAGGTTAAACGATAGTGTTGTAAAACATTTATCTGCTTCAGATGGAGCTTTAGATGGGTTGAACCTCATCCCCTGCCATTACTGAATTACCCTAACTGCTGCTATAGTGTAGCCGAGCATCCACACCATGCCCAATCCTTCTGCACCAGCCTATTGATTTTCACGCCCTGAGACAGTGCACTCCCAAAGGGCAGCAAATTATAGGGCGTTTTACAGCAAATTACACCTGCACCGGAAACTTTACAGCGATACGGGTGTCACAGATATGGACCACTCACACTACCCAGGATGAGCACTTCAGAAGGAGAGATCCTTCAGACTACAAACACAGGCCTGTAACCAGTACAAGTTCTCCCAGGGGTAATAGAGTATGAGGTCATTATAGTAGAACAGCATAAATAATGCTAAAGGAGCTAGAGCATAAAAATAGTAATACACACAGAAACACAGCATAGCATTCAGATATAAACTACTAAAATAGCAAAGTGCGACTGTTCAGAAATAACAGGGCACTAGACTGCACCACCTGCTTACACTATATAGCTTCTTCTCATTTCTGCAGCTCAACTAACTCCTAGTAAAAGTGCCCTGAACAGCAGCTGACCTCAGGATTGCCCTGCCAACATCAAAGGCACTTTATCTGTTCCAGGTGTGCACTGACTCATGCTACGAAAGTGTAGCAGAGACAAAGGCAGACAGATGTGAGTGGTCACATCCACATGCCGTTTACTCAACAAAGCACACAATTCTGGTAGATTTCCCATAAACATAACCTAATGATATGTTTATTAAAATATTCAAAACATAGGTTTTGGTAGAGTGCCGTCCAGCCAGGCAGAGAGTGGCTGACCCTCCCCTTTGGCTCTCTCCACTGTCTGGTTTCAGCTTAAACTTGACCCCTCACACTTGACCTCTAGAGGCTGACTATATGCTGACTGCACAGCTGTGAGGGAGGGTCTGTGGCGTGACACACTCTTCGCAGACAACAGCAGAAATTCAACTGGAGCATATTAGTGTCCAAGAAGTAAAATATCATTCTGTCTGACTGGAAACCTCTTGCTCTTGCACTCCAGGCACAAGCGTTTACCTTCTTACCAGTGGGGGGCTCAGGGTGGTGGGTCAGTCTGAAGGACCCTCAGCCTAAACTTTGCAGTAACTTGGCGACAGTGGTCTATTTTTAACCTCTGCTACATATTGCTGTGGTCATTATTTTCAATGTTTCTGTCCTGGACTGTCAAACGCCTTGCAGGTTTGATGTATGAAGAGTGGTCCATCACTTACATTGTTCCCTCGGACGACCAATGAGTGTCTGGTACCCAGCAGTGAGGCCGACAAAGACAGATAGATAGGCCAGGCTCAAGCCATAGGTACCTAGGGACACTTCTCAGGACAGCTTACAAATAGGAGTAAGAGGGAAGGGATGGGGCTGAATAAAAGCTGATGCTCCATAGAGCTGCCCAACCCATAACTGTCACCCCTGCAGCTTCAACAGCCTTCCTAAATGAAGATAAAGTATTGATCCACACTGTAATATCTGCTGTTCGGTAAGTCGACCGGCCCACTAAAACATACACAGGAAGGAATGCTCTTTGACTATTGATCTTAATAAGGACTTAGAACATATGACCAGGATCTAGGGATGCACAAGCAGCTACAAGAGAAATTAAAACCCTAAGAAATCATGCTGAAACAGGGTCCCATCTCACGGCAACAACCCTTCATCCCCCCTGCCATCCCCAATGTCTCTTTTCTCCACAATCAGTGTCAGAAGAAGCGGCGAGGAACGGTTTGTGAGAAACACTTATCTAGCACAGCGGCAGAGCCCTGTTCCTACACCCTTTATCTCACCAGGAGATGGAATTCAATATACAAAAACCCCATCATGCAGCAGCATCACGCCTGCGCTGGGGATAAGGGCAGGGTTGCCAGGTAATTGGTTGGTGGTGGACGAACACAAGGTTTGAGACTACCCGTGGAGGAGTGGAGATTACAGAGTGGGGTGGAGGAGTGGGGAACACGAGTCAGAAGAGATGGGGGGGTTCTTGACAATATTTCTCCACAACCCATCCCTACCCTGTCTGCTCATGTAATCTGCACATGCGCTGGGCTAGCTTTTTTAGGCTGCAAAGCAAATAACAAAGCATGTCAAGTTTATTTGTATAGCCACTATGTCACACAGCAGCCCCCGAGCCACGAGCTGGAAAAAAGAAGAAAAATGACGACGATACTTTGTTTCCATTATATAGGTTTGTATTTTCCATTTACTGTGCACATTAATTACAAAAACCTCACTTTGCCTGACATTGGAATTAAAATTCAATTAGATAATGTTGTGGTAGAGTTGAATATCATTCTGGGGCAAATATTATTTCTTTTTTGAAATAAATCACACGAGGATTGAAGCAAGATGATACTGTGTTTGTACTAGAACACTATTTGCAGGTTTTTCTGTGACTCTTCTGAGATAAGAGGAGCAGAAAAGGGTGCGATAAAGGAACACATGAATGAAAAAGAAAGAAAAAGTCATTTCTCTGATTTATTTATGATGCAGTTAAGGTATGCTGAATGCATCAGAACATGCAGCACTGGTCATACTGTCATAGAAGATGAAGTGTCTTCATAGTCGACTGAGCGAACAAGCAAGAGAAAGCCAAGAGAGAGAATTAGAGGCTGACCGTACTGCAGAGAGGTGTTAACCATCTCATCTCTACTGCACCACCGCACGCGCCACAAAATGGCTACTTGGTTCCTTGTGGCGGCCGGTGCCAAGAGGGGGGGCCGCTATCTTATCTCTCACCTCTGTAGGCTGCTCTTGAGACTCAACTATTTCTCATATTTATGGAGCACTTTGGTACAACACTTCACTGAGTGGCTTTTAGAGACTCATTTTAACACCAAATTAAATCTCTTAAATTGTGCTTTACAGTTGGGTTTAATGTTCTGGTAAATTAGAAAATTATATCTAACTTTCTGTATTTGTCCAGGAAACTACAGTACTGTCCAGAGAGTGCTAAGTTAAGTCCAAAAATCAATCTTTATATATGCATGAACAGAAAGGGAGTATTTACAATATAACAAATTATATAAAGGGAATGTATTGGATTTATGATTGTACATAAACAACGATTTAGTCAGTAAAAGCCCCTCTGTCATAAGCCTGCATTTAAACACATTAGTTGTGCTCATATCCAGGACAACATCCCCCTCTGCAGGAAAACTCAGCACCATCACCCTCTACAGTAGTGCTTCCATTTCACAGCATGAGCTATCAGGTGCTAATGATTTATAAAGTCTAATAAAGATAATACACCAAATTAAAAGAGAAAACAGTAAGCATGCAGGCTAATAACATTCATAATAATAATAATACATAAGAAAAACTGTAAAGAAATGCAAATCAAACCAGGCTATAACATTATGACCACTGTAAGCGTGAGCAGCATTGCTGTCATGTCAGGTTGTTATGCATTCAAACTAATGTCTATTTTCAGGACCAGAAAATGTGTGCAAATTCTGAAAGGTAGATCAATTTTCTTTCCTTTCTTTGTTATCATTCTTTTTGCTACACTCAGCGATTGACCTGACACTTTTGTCTTTGTGTTATGGAAGATTTTGCTGCTTATCCTTTGAATCATCTGATGGTTTAACTCAAGCCTTCCACTCTAAGGTTATTTCTTTGGGATTTCCTCTAAGTTCTTTAAAGAATGGCTAGAATTTGGAATACATATACATAAAAACTCAGTCAAATAAACTAACAAAAGTTGGGGGATCAACAACATCAAAGCATTCCTGGGCTAGCAGGAACCACACGATGAGCCTGGTGTCTTTATGAGAAGAAGCTCAAATGTTAGCCCATTTCTGAGGCAGGCTTTAGTATTTTGGCAAGATTATGTATAGGTCTTTGAAGCCCACTGAACCCACCTGCTTCAATCCCATGAGCAGTACTTTCCATCTTCCAGGATGCAGTACAATTGGTCAACAGCACCTATGAGGTGCACCCTCAGGGAGTTCCACTTTATTACTAACTAAAGTCGACTCAAACTCCATGTAGATGTTCAAAGAGCTGCTGCTTCACTGGGAGAGGTAAAAGTGTAACATCTACTGACATTCACTTATATTCACACACCAGTCTCCTGACTGTTTATTTAATGTGCATAAAAGTGTTAAATATTAAAATGTCCACTACTTCAACATTGAATGACTCGGGATAACTTTGATGTATGTATAAACATAGAGTAGTTAGCCCTTACCAGCACAAATCCTGGTTTTGATCCAGCATGGAGCAATCTATTTCTGTCTGGGCTATGCACGCTGTTCCTGTCTTTAGTTTTTCTCTTCTGATTTCTCCTGGAAAAAAAAAAAAAAAAAAAACTTTATGAAGACCTGTCTGAAATGTCCTTCGTGTGTTTGTCCATGACCCATTCAAGCTGTGCACAAACTGTCTTAATTATGCACTTATTAACCTTTTTGAAGAGACAACCGCAGTATAATACTACAGTATTGTATAATTAGAGATAGTCACAGAGTCAATGATGAATAAACTTGGAGTCTCTTCCTCATTGGATCAATGTCCTGATTACCCTGCAGTGCACAGAATTAAATGAGTCAAGAAAAAGCCAGTGCATTATGGGAGATGAATAAGATGCTCACTGACCCTGCTCCAATCAAACCACCCGTCCGATCTAATCTCCTGACAGGCTAAATGAATATGAGGCTTCAGACAGTACATGCCAGGACAACTAGCACTAGCATGCAACAACTCTGTGTGCCATAAATCACAGTTACCTAAGTACTTTATGGTCAGCCACTTGATAAAAACTCTAAACAATATATTGTCAGTTTAATATGTATTGCAAGTACTGGCTAATGATGCCTCTTGCATATAAAAGCATTTAGAAATTGTTCAACTTCAATTTAACTCCAGCCTGAGGAGAGGAAAGAGACTCTTATTTTGATTATGGATATTTGCCCAGTCAAACAGTTTTGTCAGAAGCATGGACTGTCAAATATTACTTGCAACAGCCTCAGTTTGCAGTCAATAAAACAATGTGAAACCTCTAACTCACACTTTTGTTTAATTGGATACGTTTTCTTTTTCATAGTACTATCAAAACTTCCTTGGCTTTCATTTGTGTAACTCCGCATACAGCTGAGACATCAGCAGAACGGACAGCAGCACTAGAGACTGGGTGCATCCCCTGTCTGCTCACATTAAACGAGAGGCTGACGATGTTAATTAGGCAGTGCAAATTTACATCGGCAAATTATGTAAGCAGCTAGAAGAGTAACAAAGCGTGATACCAGTTAAGTCACAGCTTGGCAAGCCCTGCATTGCCACTTCATGCTGATGTGGTCATGGTCAATCAAGCAGGAAAGCCTCAAATGCCAATTAGACATGAGTGGGTAATTGTGGCGGGGGGGCTGGTGGCAACAGGGACTGATACAGTACCCTGAGGCATTCTGCGGTTCATTCTTCAACATAGAGGCTGGTGTGTCAGCTTCACTGATACAATGAGGCAACCCTACTATGGCATCAAGCTGAGGAACTTGTCTCTAACACACAGAGACACTTTCTACTTCAGACAGACTTTGTGCTGTCTTTTATTTCTCTTAGGTTAAAAGGGGACGTATTATGTAAAACCAACTTTTAAGATAGTTAAACCATGTTATTAGAACTGTGTCCCTTCATCCATTAGGGTTGAATGGATACTCATGCATGTTATGGGAGGTGCCACATGTTTAATGCAATAGTTTGTTTTATATCATTCATAAAATATATCGGGCACTCAAACCCCTCCAGAATTTTCCCCCTATAGTTAAGAAGGAGCAAAATGTAAAATGATTATATAGATATTTTACAGTTTAATACTAAATACTCATACTCGGAAAAAAGCATAATACATATTCTTCAGTTATCGAATATGTATTGCCTTTATCCAGAAGTGAGTGTGGCATGCTTGACAAACAAAAATTTTACATAATCAAAATATGTCAGAGATGTTACAAAGGTTGTAAAGTTATGATAACTCCAGACTGATTTTGCACACCTAAATCAAGCATCTCCTGATCGACGTAAAACCTTGTGTTATATATAATCCATTTATAACAGTCAAGATGCAGAAAACAGTGGCTGTGGGTCTGTGGGTGGTAAAGTCAAAGGTTGCCTCTTCTTATGTGGCAGCAGAACCTGTGTGCAGCATTCAGACTGTCTCTCCAGCAGCTCTATATTCTAATTGGCTCATATTCCTGTGTTATCTCTACATGTTAATACTCCCATGGTAACAGACCCACACCTAATGGCCACACAGCAAGATGCATTTTAAACCACATTACTTCTTATTGAGTTAAGGAGCCCCATCGTTCCAAATAAGACAAATTTAATTGATCTAGTCTATAAAATCTCTCTGCTGCTGTGAAGACCCGGCTTCTTGGCTTTATTTATATATTTATCCACTCTGTTTTTTCCCCTCTTAAAGCATACAGCCCTGCATGAGGTACACGGAAATTAGGTTTACTCGGCATCGTACAAAAAGAGGAAGGACACTGTGGAGGAATTGAAAGGGTGCAAAATTAGATCAGTGGACTCGACAATCAATCAAAGAGAAGTGTCAGGGTTTGTAAGTTTGGAAATAGCAGCAGGTAGGAGTCAGACCCATCAAAACTATACTATACAAAGAGGATAAATATAACCACACAATCCAATATGGCTGGAGTATTATGACGAAATATACAAGGTGTTGAAACATATGATATTTTTCAAGTGCATGTTACTATGAGAAATAAAAAAAATATACATACCAACTATATTAAGTCTTTGTGTATAATATGTGACCATTAGAAAAATTCTATAAGTATGTCTTGTAGTAGATATGTCTAAGATCTGCAATTAAATATATATATATATATATTTTTTTTTTTAACCTTAAAAGGGCCCATATTACACTATTTTATAATGTTGTTTACTCATCAAAAACATACCTGGACCTGTGTTTTGTTTCATTCTAAACTTGAAATCTAAACTCGAAAACAGAGCATTTTGAGCTTTGTTAATATAGACAGAGTAATAATAAAGCGTTCCTCAAACATGTGTGACTAAAACAAAACACAACTCCAGGGATGGTTTTGATGAGGTAACAACATTCTAACATGGCTTAAAGCTCATAAGCATCAATTTTGCATAATATAGGACCTTTAAATAGATTTTGCTGTATAATGCCATACAGTTGAAATCCATACATTATTGTACAATAAATCTAAAAGGGGTTCAAAAGGGGTAGCAAAAGTAGTTTTAATTTCATTAAAAAGTCAACCACAAAAGATTCATAATTTATGGCTAAGAGAGCCTTTGAAGCAGACAAGCTGCTTCTGTCAGGGTTTTAAATTAAAAACTCATCTGGCTGGATTTATAATTTACTGCATAAACCATGCTTGTGGCTGGACTTTAACAATCCATAACCCTTTTAGTGACTCTGAGAAAACAGACCTCAGTGTGACACTGAACGATTAGCTTAAATAAATATTTGATCTGTTGTTAAAGCTAAGGGTTGAACATTAAAACACTAGACTTAAGCATACAGAGAGACGGGTAAAAAACTTTTGATAATAACTGAAGAGTAGTTTGTAATGCTCTGAAAATCCTACCAACAGAGCCTCCTGCATGAAGGATTTGACACTTCCCAGCAAAGACAAAGTAGCTGTGGTTTTTCAAGGCTGTGTTGCAGCCATTTAGACTGAGGTGTGTGTGAGAGTGAGAACCTGAGGTCAGGACCCTCTCTCCAGTGAAAAGATGTGATGATCGCTTTGGCCCTGTGTAATTTGTAATTTGCCCTGGAGGATGTCATTTTAAAAAGCACATAAATTAACTTTCTGTCAATTATGGTAATACCTACAGTAGATAGTGAGTTTAATTCCCTCTCCATTACCTTAACTAGATGATAACGTAATATTTCTATCAATTTCATTAAAAATATGATTACACTTTTAATATAAGGTGGTCAGTGTGGTCAAACTGAGTTTAATCTGCCAAACCAGCTGACTCATCATAAACATAATTACAGTTTAATCCTTATTATTACAGTAATAAGGGTTTTAATAATATCTGGCTGATAATTTAACCAGAAAACTCATAACTAGGGTAAATCAAATAATGTAACTGAAAAAATATTGATGATGAATAAGGTTAGAAAAATTTGAAGAACTGAATAACATCTGATTCCTGTATGGTATACATATGAGATTGTGTTAAAAAGATAATAATTACATGCTACATAGGGGCTTTTGTAACTTAAACTGCAAAAGTCCAAGTGCAAGAATTATTCCTCTAAGTCTGCTCTAGTCTAATCCCTTAACATTTTTGGGAGAGTACCAATTAGCAATATACATATAAAATGTTCTATAAATATATATATATATATATATATATATATATATATATATATATATATATATATATATATATATATATATATATATATATATATATATATATATATATATATATATATATATATATATATATGTGGCATGATATCCTTGAAATAACTATTCAAATGCATACACAAGATGAATGCTAATGAACTTTAAAAGGGATTGCTGGCAGAAATGGGGACTGGGGCAATTAAAGAATGCCTGGAGCAACTTCACAGAGGACAAAGCACAGAGTCGTTCTAATTAGATTCAGTGGCAGACACCTGGCCTTTCACCTCCTCCTCCGTTTGCCTGTTCCCCCACGAGGTGTCTCCACGAGGGGTATCACACACGCTCATATTTTGTACTTCAATATGAGTCACAAACAACTCACCTCACACATCACAGACACTTCCAGCATTTCTAATCAGGGCTGCAAGACCAGTCTACTACTACTACTACCACCACTATCACCACCACCACTACCACTACCACCACTACTACTTCTACTACTACCGCCACCACTACTATTAAATACAAACGTTTTGATATGAGGCCTGCTTTAAGGTGCACCATGTAACCATTCTGTAACCATTTTGTAGTAGGGGTTGCTAGCTGCTTATATCCAATAGAGATGTTATTGTTTTAAGTTTAATGCCATATTGTGGAACATTCTGAGGGAAGCAATAAAATGGGGTACAGTTGTTGCAATAATAAGATTTTAAAATTGATTTCAACATCAATGAAAAGCTTTATACCCAGTATTGATTTTGATACCATACTGTTTATAAAGTCAGATAATAAAGTCAAAACCAGGATTATATCAAGGTCATATGTAGAAAAATCATTATTAAAATGAGCTCTATTTACCATATTCATTTTTGTGTATAGTGTATTTTTGTCAGATGGAGAGCCATAGTGTTATTGTGATATCTTGAGTATGTTGCAATATTGTTTATTGTGTCAGTCAATATCGCAATATAGATACTTTTGTGATACACTGTGCAGCCCTACCTATATCACACACTAGGCAACGCCGGACACAGCAGTGCATGTGGCTATTAGAAAGAGTATAAGTGAGATTTGGTCTTCTTGCTTTGAGTGGGACCTCTTAGAAGTCAGAGAAAGTGAGAAGCAACAGCTGTCAAAGGAAGCTCTCTGATAATGGTGAGGACGTTAATCAAATGAAGACTGGTAATGGAAATGGGCTTTAAACCAGTGGCTACATTGGTTCTGAGATAGAGAGGGACCAGGTTAATGAACCCTGACAGCCTATTCCAGCAGTTCCTCACTTACAACACAATCACCTGCAGCACGTCTTCAAGACACAGCATGGCACAATGCAAAACTTTACACATAACTACTGCCAACTTATCCAACAGTAACTCAATGCTGCTCTAAGAAGCTTCAGAGAAGAAGCCATGACATTTTTCTTTGGACAAAGTGGTCAAAACAAAGAAATAGATTATAATATAGACATAGATATATATCTATATTTTGATATTAAATGATGGGAAATGCTGCACTAACAATTATTTATCTTTTATGTAAGACATTAAAAGTGTAACAGAAACAGTATTTGAACAAAAGGAACAATGATTAAATCCAATCCAGCTTAACTAAATGGAGAGCTTGCATGAATATAAATTATTTCAGAACCAGGTTTTTAACACACTGTTCATTAGTGATTAGTTCAGACCTTAGGCAATCTATTTACAGTTGGGGGTAACTATTTTTAGATAATTAAATATTTGAGCCTAATTTTTAAAATGAGATTCCTAAGGGTTAATTGCATCGGTACTAATAAGTGATAGAATAAGGGCAACCGTGTCACTGACTGCAAAGAGATTCACGTGTGTACATAAAGCTGTACGCTAAGCCATATTAGTGCCATATTACTTCAAGGAATTAGAAGATTATAGAACTATTTCATAATTTTACTTGTTAGACAATTTCAAAGTTACAGTGGAAATGCTAAAAGCAGACTACTTTCTTTTATAATTAAAATATCTCCACATTAATATGGAAAACTGTGAATGCATATTAGGCTTTCGCTTGTTTCAGTCATCCACTATTGACAAAGCTTACAGATTCACAGTCTGAACACATATCAAACAGCACAACACACTGGAGGGTCTTAGTTGAGTTTGTTGAGAGTTTGTCCCTGTGGCCTCAGACACAGTTAAAAGCCGCCCAGTTTTGCAGAGGACCTGACTCCAGACTCAGCCTTCACAGAAAGGTGCTCGCTCTAATCTGGCCTCATTTTATGCTTCTTTAACCGTGACCAATGTATTTAAATGGCTGTTTCTTTGACAGATGCTCAGTTCAAATTACACCTAACTGGAAATTTGTAGGAGTGATATTAAATATCCTTCAGGCCAGACTGGCTAAAGAGGACACAGGAACATCAAAAGGCCAAACACTTCAAAAACTAAAACTAATGATCCTGGCTCACCTCAGGTAAAAGAAGGTTTCAACCTGGTCCAACTTCCCTCTGGTCAAAGCATATCACTCTTTTTAATGGATGTTTGACGGTTTCACCATCCACACCACTACTGCATATAAAATGGTGAAGGGAAGATAAATAATACAACATTTCTCATGAGTTGGTTGAATGCATATGTACATGTTATCTGACCCATCTGGCCTCACTCACCTCAGCATGAACAGGGGCACACACAACACACAGGAGTGGGTGTGCTGTGTGTTGTGTCCATATTCACAGCAGAGGAATCCTCTTCACCAGCTGCTTTGATCCTGCGCCATCCATGCAAATCTGAGGGAAAGACATGGACACACTCAAACTTCACATAAAAAGTACAGGCCAAAAGCAAAACACCCTACAAGAGTGCCAAGAATACTTCAGAAACACTCTTACTTACACTACTTCTTCTACCACACTGTCAATACACAATGTAAGTTTTTCATAGGGTACAAATATACATATATATATATATATATATATATGTATGTATACACACACACACACACATATATATATATATATATGTATATATATGTATACATATATATATATATATATATATATATATATATATATATATATATATATATATATATATATATATATATATATATACACACACACACACATATATATATATACCCTCTACCTAAACATGACCAAAAGCAAAATTCATCATGTTGAACATTGTATGACTGAAAAGGGAGTGTCCTCCAATACACTAAATACTTGTCACTGTGCAATGATAGTGTGATAATGAAAGACTATCAAAGACTGAACAGAGTACATTTCAGAGTGTTTTAACAGCTATCATTTCCATGAATACCTTTACAGTAGCACCACAAAACACAACTTTCCTATTCAGTTTTCATTTAAAACAGTCATGTGTAAACCTTCGACAAAACTTTGCAGTATAGAGTTTAAACCTGTGAGTGCTAACAGCAGCGAGGAGTGGACACATCACCAGAGAGTACCAGTGTGCGGTTCATTTTAATCCTGGTTTAGGCCTCTGTGTCTGCTGGCTCCACTGAAGGCTCTTCAGGATTCAGAAGCTTCTTTCTCATTGTACATTTGTAAATGTTGTTGATTGTGGAAGACGTCCATGTTTATGCAGAGTCTCTGGTCAGTTGTGGGTCAGCCCTGATTGCTAACAGCTGTTCCTTTTGCTGCTGCAGTTGGCCACTCTCTCGTGGCTGGCCATTTAAATGGTTATGCTCAAATATAACATTTTATAATTGTTCAAGGTTAATATTATATGTTCTATGTAAGAATACAGGTTTGATGTGCAACTTACAAGATTCAACATTGAAATGTTCTATATACCTGAGGAAACAATTTATTTATGTTCTCATCCCTGACATCAACATATATGTAACTACTGCACCAGATTTTACAGACTGACTGACTGGGACACACATTATAATGATTTAATGCAAATGGACAGACAAAAGACTTCCCAAGATCAGAGTTATATAGAACAGTTAAATTGGGTACTGACACTTTTTTGTTTTTTTAATCTTACTATCATGATACTACAAGAACTTGAGTCCAGTGAAATATATTCCTTCATTTTAGAAGCATACTTTTGGCATTGGAGGGTATTACTCAAGGGCATTGCAGCATTTACACATATGAAATCTTGGACAAAAGACACTTTACATTGTATTAACCACACTGAACAAAACTGATCACTTTGTCAGCTTGTAAAGTATGTGTGATAGTAAGAATTCTTTTGTCAAATTGTTGTTATCAAATAACAAGTTATTTGATATTAAACTTAGAAACAGAGTTTGAGAGAAGAACAATGCTTTTTTGCAGACTAGTGTACCACTGTCAGCTATCACTAGCCTTTACACAATTGCTTTCAGTCTATGTGCCATTTGATTGCCCTAATAGAGGGAAACATTAAAGCAAGGGAATAAAATAATATGGGCATTTCTCCGAAGTCCTGCTGCTGGAAGCTTTTTTATTTTATTTAATTATTCCACAAAGCTCCTTTTACACTAGGCAATCTCTGGCTGTGTCCTACCCCCACTGTGTGAGCTTTGTAATTTAATAAAACTTCATTTAAGAGACAAGTTGATTAAAAAATTAAGCCCCAGACAGTGATCACCATAGCCCCAACCTTCCTTATTCCACATCCCATATTTCATTTTTGAACACGTTAGGCAGAAATTATCACCGCAGGACAAGTAGATGCTTTCTGAATCACATGACAGTGACAGCCCAGCCCACAGCAGAGCGTGACCCACTAAAATCTGAAAATGACACAACTTGAAACAATGTCACTCCATTAGGTCAGTCACTCCAGCCTCCCATTGTTCTGCCTGTCATGCACACATTAATATTTCATTTAGAATTCATACTCTAGATTTCTTCTGACAGCAGGTGACTGCCAAAACTTGCCATGTACAGTTGTAAAGGAGTTTTTTTTGTTTTGTTTTTTTTACATTTTGACCATTTTTGACTGAATGATGACACTTGCTGCAATAGTGAGTTGAAGTACAGGCCTACATATGCCCTGTGCTTGGTTTACACCACACAAACTATACTACTCTCTCTTTGAAATATAATATGCCTTAAAGTTTTCCCATGTGTGCAGCAGAGTACACACTCTGAAAGAGAAATGTCAAAGTTGTCAATTCTTATCATGGAGTGAAGAGCATAAATGCTATATAGCAGAGCTTAAAGTCAAATATCTCTTCAGTGCTGTAGAAATATAATCCACAAATTATTGCTAAATTATAGCCTGGATCTAATGGCAGGTTTGAACCATAAGTTATTGATCAGGAAAATGAAAACCTGTAGTGTTCAAGGTGAAATGTAGTTGGGCCTCATTACAGCTCTGTCCTTGAGAGGCCCACACTCAGACGGCTGCAGCAGTGGAGAGGACTGCTTTAATGAACTTGAATTTAATGGGATTTAATGTAGCTGGGGGCAATGGTGCAGCAGAGATATGGTTTTAACAAAGAGCCTGGGACCAGTGGTACAGTCCGTTTCCTTTTGTATTTACTTCACATTCGGAACAGTGGGTTTTATCTGACTGAGCCCCAAAAGTCATAGCTTGGAATACAGACTGGCCCTCCTCTCTTTATTTGCTAATACAGCAGAGTCTGGTCTCTAGAGTTGTCAAAATACGAAAATTTCAAACTCAGTTTCAATACTAAGGAATAGACACGATACTCAATACTGATTCTGATAACAATATGTAATTTTCAGCATCGTAGTACTTTTATATATTACCATGAGGCCTTATCTGTGTAATCCTTCATTCATCCAGGTATGTTCCATAGTGATCCATGGACGGACTAGTGTATGCAGTCTAATACTTATTCTGATTCAGCTTTATCATTCTTAATCTATTCAGGAAAGTTAGATTTCTGAATGTGACTTTTTTTTTAGTATAGACATTTGCTCAAATGAGTACAAAATAATCCAAGTTGTGTTTGTCACTAAGGTAAATGTAAGTAGAACTACTATAGTGATTATCCCCAACATGTACAAAACATATGCATATGCAAAACATATACTGTCAGTGTTAACATTGTGAAGGTTCCTGCAGGTTCACCTGATCTCTTCTCTTTTTCCTCACAGTGAAGAGTTTTGTCAGACTAGGCTTGCATCATATCACACCTTTCAGCATACAGGTGCTCTGACATGCACTATTCCAACATTTGTCTATCGCCAACCTGATTCTATTAATAACTGAGCAGCACTTATACATTCTCAATCCCATTTGTCTTGTGCTCTGTGGACTTCAGCCATAATGTCGTCATCTACAAGACGGGTTGTGATGCCTGGTCTTTTGTTAACAATATGCACTTGAGAAGTTCTAAATTATCTATTGCTTCAATAATGCTCCAAAAATATGCCCACCACTTGGAAAAAATTAACTTTCATACCTGCTTGTGAAACCATTACAAACTAATTTCTCCTTCTTGTTTTTCTTCTTTGGGTGAAGAACCAGATGGGGGTACTAATAAACAAACAAAAAAGAGAAAGGGAAAGAGAAATGGACTGATTAAAAATGCAATTGCCATGATATAATTCACCCTGGTTGTTGTTATCAGAGACCATTTCTAAAATCGTCCAGGGACAAGAGCCAAATTCATCACTACTCAGTGAGCAGTCACCTCCCTCTGTGTGAATAAACTGAACTGCACCTACATTGCTACTTTGAACAGAACTTGTTCATGTGTGGTGTGTCATATCTTGTGCATAGCCATAAAACACTGCAGTATTTGAACATCTGCATTTTCCATTGAATCTTTGCATTTCATTGGTGTCTGTCATCCTTCAAACATGACTAATGGGAAACATTAGGAGCACCTTTGAGTCCAAGTGGTTTTAATTAAATACTGCTTTACAGACGTCCTTGAAAAAGAACTTTTAATATTTCTTCATAGCACCCTATCTGCAGCTTCTATAAGGACTTGGATAAAGTACATCAAACACATGGTTAGTTTACACACTTTTAATGCACACTGCTTTTTCAAATCTAATTGTCTCCAGAGACTTTTGAAGGTGTTACAATGCAGCCTAGCTTTAATCTGTGAGCTTTGAAAAAGAAGTCCAGGCCAATTTAAGGAATATTGGGTTTCCTGTTTACATTACAAAAGGTAGGAAGATGTACTTCAAACAAATGGAAGCCATATGAAAGATAAGATTCCCAAGACAGCCGCGCAAAGCCGTGTTTTATTAATTCTGACAAGAAAAAAGTTCTACCACTTGTTCTACTTTTGAACTCAGTTTAGCAGTAATGCCTTCAACCCACTTAACTTTTAAAATCATAAGCAATTAAAGTCATTCAACAACATCCAAGGCCCTGGTGACACGACGACCTGAGCATAACTCACAGATCCGATCTCAAGTCAGTGCCACAACATACAGTATGTCCAGCAAGTGTAAGGCATACATGATAAAGAGCTACTGTGAATAGCTAAATAGACTAAGGCTTAAAAGTGAAGAAACTTAATACAAGTAAGCTTGGCTACAGGTTAGATTATGTTGCTACATAGTCTACTATCTTACCTCTTTATGGGGGAAAAAAGTATAGCCGGCGTTTCAATTTGCAGAAACAACGGAGAAAATCAACAGCACACTCAGTCTGCATGAGTGTGCCCATCAGGGTAATATCGGGGCAGAACAGAGCACAGGGGCACTTCCAAAATGCGTGTGTGAAAGGCCCCGTCCTGCTAAGCATGGAGCTTTGGTGGATGAACATCTTTTCACTCATCGATCTACTAAATCATGAGCTTAAAATTATTATGACAATTTAGTTACCTGTTTTCTATACAATTCATTGGGGCATCGATTTAGATAGGATGCTAGAGCATGCTATTACTATGAATTGATTAATTGAAAATTTAAGCAAACATTGTTTAATTTTTTTATGTACGATATAGTTATACATTCTTATTTTTGTATTACTGTCAGCATACTATGAAAGCCTTCTTTAAAAAAAAAAAAATTAACACGTGCCTAAAATGCAATACACTGTCGCCCCCTAGTGAACAGTAAAATAAGATTTTAATTTCAGGGATTTTTGCACCTGCATTATGGTGCCAAGTTGGCAATGGGCATTTTACACTACTAATTAAAATATCTTAGCTTACTCTCCATGGTTTGTTTTAGTCTAAATTTCCATAGGCTATATTACATTTTGGTGCCATCTTTCCCATATTCATAATGCCTGGACATACGGGAGTCCTGTCTCACAGTGCAGAGACCTGTGCTCTACAGCTGGAGTTTTTTATGACCTATCCATCAGCTAAATACAGCTTCTGCGTGAGCCACTGCCAGGGGAGGTCTGACCTGGGGCCTTGCATGACATTCAACGAAGGAGTGCTTCTCACCCAGGAAATCCCATTATACCAAAGTATGATGGATATCACTTCAGATAAAGCTCATATGTAGTCTGACATATAATTTGTTATAATTTGTGAGAAATTGTATGACCATGTTCACCTTTACTCCTGTCATTCACCTTTTTCAAATGTCCCTTTACACAGGGTAGGTAGAGATGCATGTTTTTGTTTGATTACTGATGTGGTGGTGCTGCAGACACACATTAAAAGTTGTAATACCAAGTTCTTGTTTTTTAAGTTGCTGACAAATATATACAGATGTGGACAAAATTGTTGGTACCCCTCTGGTAATGAAAGAAAAATCAACAGTGGTCACTGAAATAACTTGAAACTAAGAAAAGCAATAATAAATTAAAAAATCCTGAAAAATAACTAATAAAATCAGACACTGTTTTTGAATTGTTGTTCAACAGAATTATAAAAAATAATAATAATGAAACTGGCCTGGACAAAAATGATGGTACCCCTAGAAAAGATTGTAAGTAACTGGACAATGGACATGTTAAAATTAGATGTGTTCTCTAATTGGCATCACAGGTGTCTTCAAACTTGTACTCAGTCAGTCTGCCTATTAAAGTTGTCATTGTGCTGTTTGGTGACATGATGGATACAACACTGAACATGGACCAGTGAAACCTGGGTTAAAGTGGGTTAAATGTAAAGGCAGTAAGACCATCTCCAAGCAGCTAGCTGTTCCTGTGATTACGGTTACACATGTTATTCAGAAGTTTAAGGTCCACAGGACTGTAGCCAACCTCTCTGGACATGGCTGCAAGAGGAAAATTGATGACAAATTGAAGAGATGGATAATACAAATGGTAGCCAAAGAGTCCAGAACAACCTCCAAATAAATTAAATGTGAAGTCGAAGGGCAAGGTAATCACTGTTTGAGCCAAAGTGGACTTCATGTGAGGATACCACTGTTGAGAGCAAATCATAAAAAGTGAGACTGGAATTTGCCACTATGTATATTGACAAGCCACAAGGCTTCTGGGAAAATGTCCTTTGGACAGATGAGATAAACCTGGAGCTCTTTGGCAAGGCACATCAGTTCTATGCTCACAGACACAAAAATGAAGCACACCAAGAAAAGAACCCTATCCTTACTGTAAAGCATGGACAAAGCTTAATTATGTTCTGGGGCTATTTTGCTGCATATGGTACAGGGTGTCTTGAATCTGTGCAAAATACAACAGAGTCTCAAAACTATCAAGGTATTTTGGAACAAAATGTGTTGCCTAGTGTCAGAAAGCTTGGTCTCAGCCATAAGTCATGGGTCTTCCAACAGGATAATGACCCAAAACACAGCTAAAAACATCTAAGAATGGCTAGGAACAAAATATTGGACTGTTCTGGAGTGTTCTTCTGTGAGCCCAGATCTCAATTCTATTTAACATCTGTGAAATGAGCTGAAAAATGCTGTCTGGAGAAGGCATCCTTTAAACCTGAGCCAACTAGAGCAATTTGCTTATGAGAAGTGGGTCAAAATACCAGTTGACCAGTACAGAAGTCTCACTGACAGTTACAGAAATTGTTTGATTGCAGAGATTGCCTTAAAAGGTTGTGTAACAAAATATTAAGTTAAGGGTACCATCATTTTTGTCCAGTTTCATTATTTTGTTTTTTTCTAATGATACTGTTTAACCACAGGTGAAAAGCAATGTTTGATTTTTGTTGGACAATTTTCAGTAATTTTTTATTTATTGTTGCCTTTATCAGTTTCAAGCTATTTCAGTGACGAATTGTTGATATTTCTTTCATTGCCAGAGGAGTACCAACAATTTTGTCCACATCTGTACAAGAATGACAAGGATTCTAACTTGATGCAATTTCTTTCTAATCAATGGTCTAGCAAGTCTGTGAGACCCTGAAATTTTTTGTCATTTTAGTGAGTACAGTCTTGTCATACAATTGTCAACTGTACCTCATGCTCTGACATGTGACAGGAGTAGTGAGGTTTTTCCTGGGATCTGCTGTAGTCATTCTAGTTTGGATGTTACTGCCCCGAGTGGTCCGATGACCACGGGCACCACTAATGCCTTCTCTGAGCCCCTGGTATTTCTCTAGTCTCTTGTGTCGGGATTTTCCCATCGCTTGGTATTGCAATGTCCACCACCACAGCTTTGTTCTGTCACTTATCCAACACCATTATGTCTGGTTGGTTCGCCATCACATTTTTGTCAGTGTGTATCTGGAAGTCCAACAAGATCTTGGCTCGGTTATTCTTCACAACCTTTGGAGGTGTTTCCCACCTTGACCTTGGGGTCTCCAGCCCATATTCTGCATAAATGTTTCTGTACACTATGCCTGCCACTTGGTTATGTACATGTGTATGTAATATAGTTCATTTGGTGTTTTTTCTCTTGTACAAAACAATCTGCCAGCACAGCAGCTTGTGACTAGCCCGTCTAACTGGTCATACTATTGGGTTCCACAATCAACACCTGCAGCAGACAAGTTTCTTCTTTACAAGGTTATTTTTGTTCACAACGGTGGCATCAGAGTCATTATATGTCCTTGTTGATAAGAGACGCAGTGAGTGATCATTTCTGTCAAGGTGCCTGTCTGCTCTTAACAAACCTGATGGACACACCAAGATGCACACCGCCTCTGATGCTTATGGGGCTTGTTAAATTAGACTCAGAGATGTTTATTTATTCATTAGTAACAAAATAAATTCCCTTTCAACCATGATGCTAATGTCTATCATTTATTTCTTATTCTCCATTTTATGCTGTATTGAATTTGTTCTGACCTGTGTATGTGTGCTTTGCTTGACAGATGTTGTCAGAGCTCGGTTCATCACTGTCTCAGCCTGATGGAAGCACATTTCCGTGTACTACACAAGTATAGCTCTGGAACGTCACACTCAAACAATAGGCAATACACAGGGCACAGAGGCAAGGCAGGCAAAGTGTCTTGTCCAAGGACACAGCAGCATTATTCACTGGTGCCATCCTTTTGGTTAGTGGGACGTAAAACACTTTTGGCATGAAACATAACAATGCCTGGGCTCACTGCTGTGCTGCATCTCTTTGTACAACCGCATATACAAAGCAGAGCAGCACCTGAGAATATTGCATTCACGTAAAGGTGTGAAACAATTCTGTAGTGTTAAGTTGTCACCTTGTGTAGGGCGAGATGTGTCATTAAAGAAGCACCACCTCACAATGGAAAAGTCAACTCTGGGGTCATAGTGGGTGCAGCTTGTTCAGGCACAGAAAAGTAGTATGACTATGGCTGAAAAGGCCAAATCCATGGTGAGATGTTGAAGAGTGGTTTTACTTTAGCTGTAGGTTGTTGATTGAGCTTTGGAGTGCTAAAGTCAAGAATGAACTAATATTAGTGAGAGTCAGGCATGATATATGGACATGAAGAGAAAATTAGGTATCATTACAATGTACCGCTCAAAGTGTTAATGCGCGATGCTTTGGTTGGTTTAATGGCAACGGGAATCTATTATGCACTCAGACAAAAGAGAGTCTTTAGAACAAGCTATAAAAGCGTAAAGCATGGGTAAAAAGGAAAAGCAAGGTCAAAAGATTTTTTTACTGCTGTCTTTTGTTGTATTATTTCACTCTCAATGTGTAATGGTGTGTTAATAATATATTATGCACATCTGAAATATGAACAGACATAAGGAAGTACCCATATAATGTCAGCGAACAGTCTGTACAACAATCTGTGTTACAGGAGAGAAACCAACAAACTCTGGTCTTACATATATTTTATTGATCCTTTGTGAGGGAAATTCAGGGAAGGAGGGAAATTCAAACTCTGCATTGACCCATCCTTCAACCAGTGCCGCCAGGGCAACCTATCATGACCTGTGCTTGGGGACCCATCTCTATGACCTTGAGCTTGGCTTGGTCAGGTCAAACTTAGCTGGGGAATTTTACCTATGGTGCATGTTTTGGGTTGGGTTTGGGTACCGGTATATATATATTTTTTTACACTGAAGGGCCTTGGAGAGGTGACCAAGACCAAAAAAGTTTACTAATTTGATTTATTTAATATCAGAATTTCATATGAATGAATTTATGGCAAATTTATTTGTATTATATTAATTTATACTATAATTTATGGAATTAGGCAAATACACATTATCTTGCATATAAGAAGATTTTTATAGACTGATTGCTTGATTTGTTGTTGTATTATATAACTTTTCCTTCCGCAACTTTTTTGGAATTCTTCTTCCCCTGGACAGTCATAACAAAAACACCTTAATTTCTATTATTATTGATCTGTGGATGTAATTA